TGTGATCATATGACTTTACTAGCATTAATTCACGTTTATGGAGGTGTGCGGATACTTTTGTCCACCCTCTGTAGTTTTTTATATAATAATTATTTCTTTTTCTTTAAATTCATAATAAAACTAATAAGCGAATAATACATGCTGTAAATTTCATAAATTTCTTGCCGTCATTATCTTGTTAAAAAAGCAAATAATGAGAATTCCAAGATTAGAATCTTGGAATATTTCTTTTAAAACACAAGTCATACCAAAATATTTCAAGATTACCAAATGTCAATTGTACGAACTTTGTATCATGAAAGCAAACTAATTCATGACTCGAATATGAACTTTTTGTTGTAGTGGAGTATAAATTAATCCGAAATCTTCGAATTTACTAAAAATAAGAAAAAAAGAATTGAAATCATTGTTTATCATGTTTTTTTTTATGAAATGGAATCCAAATATTTGATTTACTTTGCAATTTCATTCATCAGCATGTATTACTGCATATTTTTAAAGTTTGATGATGTTACATTGGCAAACAAAATACTGAAGACTTGTACGATTAATAAAGCGATGCAGTTATTCAAACCCTTTCATGAATTGCCAAACAACGAATTCTGCACTGTTGAAGGTTTGTTCAAATCAAGCAACCATTATACGCTTTTGGAAAGTGACCGTTATTCCTATGATCTTCTCGGTACTTACGGATATTTTGGGTCCCTATTTAATTTAGCACATTTGGCTTTATTATTCTAGAAGATGTTACCAAAATAAAAGGTATAGGTTAGATGTTTTTATTATTACGTAAAAAAGATTCTTTAGAAGATTTGCTACAAAATAGAAAGAAAAAGGGTTTTGTGAAGTAATTATGACAAAATTTTTTAAGGGTCTTAAGTAAGGGTCCGGAGCATGGGTTATGATAATATCGATGATATAAGGGCCAAAATCCACACTTACCCGAAAAAAAGTGTCAAAAGATGGGCATGAAAGTGCGGAATATTCCATACATGCACAAGAAAAAATCCATCAATCCCAAACATCCCGATTAACAAGTAACCATTCGGAACCTGCTCGGAACCTTCATAAACAATTTTTTATCCGAAAGATTTTTTTAGGAAAGAGATATATATTTGGAGTATATTTGTTTATCGCATATACGTTTCACAAACAAATTAAAAAATTGAATAATAAAGAATTTTAAACAATAATAATTTGGTGAGATAAATTGGTATTATCTTTGAATGAGCAATTTTATAATTCAAGTGAGAGATCACAAAAGAAAAAAAAAAAGGTGCGTGCTTTTTTCTTATCAGTTTATGTTCGTTTATTATTTGGTTACCCTAAATTTCATCATCAAAGTCTAGACCTTTGCTTCAATTTAAAATTTATGTAAACTAATTTTGCTTATGTATGGAATTGTTATTTTCTGCTTATCGAAAAATATTAAGGAATTTTTGTGTAATTGATTCCTTTATTTAATTTTTACTTTTTTTAAAAAAAAAGAAAAAAACAATAAAAAACCCTTTTTTTTTTTTTTTTTTTCCGAATAATTTGTCATCAAAAAATTTTAAAGATTGGGACGTTCTGTTTAATTTACGTGTGCCTTTTTTTTTTTTTTTTTTTTTTAAAAAAAAAAAAAAAAAAAAAAAAAAAAAAAAACATATAAAAATTTTAAAATATCACACATTTCGATTAACCCCGTTTTAATTA